CTGAACCAAATTTGCTTAGTCAGTGTATCAATATAGCATTGTTCTAATTGCATAAGGACTTAGACATCTTTACAGCCTGGTTTGCTATGCATATTTTTTTATTGGTGTCATGCCTTCACTGTAATACCCGAGCATCTTCCAGTTTGAATTTTAGTTGTGTCCCAGATGCTCATGTCGGGCCGTATTTTCTGCTATCTTACTGTCACCCAATAAAACAGATTGTAGACTCTGAGGAAATCGCACAGAGGTTACAACTTCACATATTTTCTATGAGGCTGTTGTTTAAGTGAAGATGTGGTCCACCTAGATAGGTGATGATGATAATAGTAAATATGAAACAACATGTCGCTTTCCCACATTATTGTATTGTACCAGCTCTGCTGATAGAATGAAAATAACTTCCATCAGTTAATTTAGTACGATTCAAAAGATATGCAAACAGCAAGTGCAGTAAAACCTAGCATTTTTACACAGTCACTGTTGTGAACAAAATCCAAATTTCAAAGTTTTCAGAGTTCAAAGGCAGGTACCTTATAAGGATATCAAAATCACCTGCTTCATAGCATGTTAAGAATGTATGTGCCTGTTTTATGAGTCCCATTGAATCATTCAGCTGTGCAAGTTTGATCTCTTGATGAGTAACGCTTGCCAGAAAACTAGGAATAGTTTTCTATTAAAAAACATTGCTTTTGTTTTCACACACTTTTTCTCCCCTAGAGTTACCTGGCATGAAGTTAGCTATTTCCCTTTCTGCTGTGTTGCCTAATCTCTTGATTTTTTTCAGTATCTTGAGACAGCTATTTACAACCTGGTTGCTAGTTGGCTACTGCCATACATAAAGGAGGGCTGGTGTGTTTTAAGCATCAAAGTTCTCCCCACTGTGAGGGCCCACATCCTGATGGACAGTAAATTCCCATCATTCCAGTTGCCCTTGTTGGGACAGACAGATGCTTAACACATCTCAGGGTCTAGGTTACTCTGTACAGTTGTGACTTGACTAAACACAGAAAATCTAATGTGCCCAGACACATTTTAACACACCTTTGTTAGAAAGTATGGATATTTTTTTAGGTTTATGTCATTTCTTTCCTCCATATTTTAACCCTCTAATGGAGCTTTAGAATAGACCTGAGTTTGGTTTTTTGTTTTGTTTTGTGGGGTTTTTTTTACATTTGAACACATTCTGTTAAGCAAGCTTTTTCTGTAATTGATTGTCAAGCAAATTCTCTAATCGATTGTCATATACTGTAATGTCATGCATTAGCATTTGATTAAAACAGTCTCGTGTTTTCATTTTATCAATAATAATATGTCCCAATGTATCTCACTAATGATAGTATTTCTAATAGTATTTTTACCTGTAATTTGACACAGCTTTTGCTAATTTAAATTTAATTAACTGTCTTCTTTTCATGACTTGCTTTCACATCAATAAAAAAGATGGGAAATCCAATCCATGTACGATACTGTTTAAACTCATTTTTACCTCTGTGACAAAATTTGTCTCAAAATAAATCCTCTACCATTCAAAACAAGCTCCTCTTATTGTAATGTGTGAAATGTAAGAAAGTACAACAGGCTTCAGCTTCAGTAAAAATGTACCACAGATGTATTCTCCAGGCATTTTATTTGTCTTTAAATGTATCAAAGCAAAAATAATTCTAATAATTGCTTTAAAATATCTTGGCTGGGAGACCAGTCTGTGGCAGGAAATATCTTAGCACATTAAAGAGCCTGCTCTGCCAAATACTGACATCTCTTCAAGGGTCCGAGTCCCCCTAGTTCCCGCTACGAAATAGCAGGAACTCTATAGCTCACAAGAAAAGCTCACCAGTCTACAGATTCAGTCTCAGCAGTAAAAAGCTTTTTAATTGACTCCCCAGATCTAATTTCTAAACTTTTTGTGAACATTTGCTTTGGTGTTCATCTGTAATCTCTCTTGGCAGCTCCCCGGGAGACTAATGGTGGTTTGTCTTAGGAAGAGATCTCTTGTAAAGCATCTGCTCTAAACTTGCCTTCCCTAGTTTAGCTGAATCCATTGATCTGCAATGTAGCCTTGGTCAAACTCCCCAGATAAGCCTTTCCCCATCCTTTATCTATTTTGTTTCAAGTATTTGAACAGAACTTTTAAGGAAGTGATATAGCAAATGGCTCCTAGAAAGAACAAGCACATAGAAGTGACAGACTTGATATAACATACACTGCTATGGGCTGCACTTAGAGCATGTCTCAAGTCAGGCTATGACATTGCACGACTACTGACTGTACCTGAGATGACAATACCTGCAAATTCTCCGTATGCAGAAATGAAGGGCCCTTATTGATCCCTCTGGACACACATCAACTTTTTATAAGCATATTAGATGAATGCATTACCAGTTTGCTGAATTGTGCATGCCGAAGTCTGTATGTACAAACAAGACGCATGTGTACTTCACAGGCACAGTCAGTTGTACTGCAGACACGTGCACACAAGAACGGAAGCCTGGCCAAGGGGAGCCATCCTTGACTTTGTTTTTTGAGTAACACACATATAGCCAGATATGGACAGGTATAGGGAGGCAGCTAAGCATAACTGACCACAGAATAGGCAAATCTGTAATTACAATTAGTGGCAGCAAAAGGAATCATTTCAGTAGGAAGTTTTTGGAAGAGGGCAAAAAGTATTAGGCAGGATTAAATGGGCTTGCAGGTAGAGACTGGGGAGTTTAGAGAATACAGGTGTATCTTTAGTGATTTGTATGTATTTCTCTTACTCTCCAGTCTCCTACGAATGTTAACTCATTCATACATTCAGGCATTTGACTGACATTCTACATTTTTGCAAAGCGGTTTCATTTTTCTGTACTGAAAATGTGTTGCTAACTATTAACAGTTTAATTAAGTTATAGTAATAAGTTATTTAACCAGTACCAATAATTAACTAACTGTTCATTTCTAGTGCATCTATTTATCATACAGGAAAAAATGCTACACTGATTATTTTCATTCTGCTCCGCAAATAATTGTTCTGTTTGTGTTCTGGAGGCATGGTCACGAGCCCACGAAGGATCTAGCATTCAGTAATACCAGCAAAAATAATACTGGAGAAAAACATTATAAACTAGACCGCTCGATACTTATAAGTGCAAGTGATTTTAACATACTGAATTTGGATGCATTGTTGATTTATATCGAAGAGAATTTTCTGTCTCCTAGCAGATTGTTATTACCAGTTGCCACTGGTGTTATTGTCATTTACAATTTTCTATTGAATATTAAGCATCAATAGAAACTAATCTCTACTGTATACTAAGCTATTTTACACTCCTATGGCATATGAATGCAAAATAGCTATATTCCTCTTTTTTCTAGGTGGGTTACAATATTTTCAATTTTCAGATAAGTCACAACAAGGTCCACAGAGAAACAAACCAAACTGAAATAAAAAAATTCATAAATCTTAAGGACTTCCCAACATGTTCTTATTTATACTGGGTTGTAGAAGCCATACTGTTTCCTATCAATCAAGCAGTGATCCAGGTTTTCAGCCTTCTAGCTACGCGGCAGAGCTACATTTGCAGAATAAATATTAGCAATGAATTTTAGTATAGCTGAAAATAAATATACAGCTTATATTCAGCAATGAAATGAAGTTGAAGTTAACAGTGAGTTACTATGTAAGATTAGTTTTAGGAATGTAATCTTTACAGATTCTTTGTCAGATTGATTTAGGCAGGCACAGCTCGCTATTCTGAAGCATGCATCTCTACTTCAATAAAAAAATGTAGGGGAATAAAGTTGGCAAGAGGCAACACTAATTCCATGCCACCACCCTAAAACAGAATTGCTTCAGAATATTCGGAAAGACTCATAGTTGAAAGGAACAGAGGCTGCAGAAAAAGCTCAAGCACATAGTTACAACAATAACAAAGCAATTCATCTATGCCATGCAAGCACTTAGGTGTAAGGCTAAAAACAACAGAGTAGAACACAAAAAGTTGTTTTAAATGTGCAGTATCAGTTCCCCTTTGGATAGTCAAGTTTACTAGATTTTTGCCTTCATCCCCACTATTATCTGGCAGCCACCACACCAATAGCAAGTGGCTCCCTCCAGCGACAAAGCTAATGCTGCTTCTTGGGTCATGCTGAACAGCAGTGCAGCCAGCATGCTCTTCCTCCCCTAGAGACTGAGAGTATCACCTTCAGAAAGGGATCAGCCTCCACCACCATCGGGCCTGGGATCTTGAATCTGCTTCCAAACCTGAGTCTGATCAGTCCTGAAAGCTGCCGTAACACTATAAAAGTACAATAAACTACAAGAAATACCAGATAATTACAACGGATCTGTGTATTGGATGTCCAGATAAATACATCCTGGGTGTGGGTGACAGTGCAACAGATCCTGCACCTTTAAAACTTGAAAAAGCAAGTAAAAACCAATCACCTAAACCTACACTACAGCATATTAATAAAAATGTATATATTGAAAAAGGCTAAATATATATATTACAATATATATATTTAAAGAGAGAGATATAACAAATATTTGACATGTCATTTTACAGCACGTAGGAACACCTAATATACGTGCCTTATAGTTCTCACAAACGTATTGGTGTCATTAGAATTTAGATATCTCTTTACACGGGCCATATTCATATCTCAGTCATACTGGCATAAATCTGAACCATTTCCATTATCTGTTGACTGTGGAACTGCTCTGGTTTAAACTAGTGTAACTGAGATAATTTAGCCTCTTCCTTTATCAGTTTAGCAACAAAATTAGTTTTAAACTAGCAATTAAAATTTTTCAGTTTTCTCCCAGAAGTATTCAACATATACAAGGATATAAGCTATAATGTAGTGCACATTGTCAAGCTTAATTAGCACAAAACATGTTATTTTGCTCAACGCACTGAAATCAAACTAAGTGTAGTTTCTTTTGCTGAATGACTTTAAATCAAGACTAGATTTAGGTCTAATAAGGTATTTTTTTCAGGCAAGAAAATAAGCATAAGATTTTCCTCTCCCATTTTGATCTAAGGAAGTTGTACTTATCAGTCCTATATGTATTACCTAGTCCAACAGGATATAATTTTCTCTATATTTATTTTGTTATCATTGTTTGCTGTCCTTTAATGACATCATAATTGCAAAACTTAGTAATTTTATTTCTTTGGTTCCTGACAATCTAGAAAGACCAAAAGGCACAGAGAATAGCATATTGCAAAGTTTATCAGACTGACCGCCAGCTGGAGGGACAACTTGGTCAAGTAATTTCATGCTCGTTTTCTTCCATATTTTCTTTATAACTGCTCTAAGTTCTTCATTTGCTTGCTCCAGGTTACCTGTGGCAATGAAATAGAAAAATGGAGGATGGCAATTATGTTTCAACCAGCTGCAATGAACGATCCTTTGGATATTAATTAGCTTTATACAAACGAAGACTGTGTTAAAGAAGCTTTGCAGCAAGCCTAAGCTACAAGAAGTAGCAGATAACAATACTACAACAACTAAAGAGAAGAAAGGGTGTAAGACTGAGCTCCTGGGGCTTTCAAATCAGTCTCTGGAGTACTGCAGAGGTCAACCATAATTTACAGATCTTGGCTCCACTCTGTCACTGCTTAATACCTTCCACTTAAATTGTGCAGAAAGCGATGACTTGCTTTTTACAAGCCACTTCTTTCTTGATCCAAAGCTGAGCCTTCATTTGGTTAATCATAGTAATTACTCAGTTGTACAGGCTTGAAAGTTCAGGCAACTGACTGCTGAGCAGGTTTTCATCTCTTGCAACGCTCACCTAAACCACAGTGATGCCTGAGGAGGCTTAACCTAATCAGTTTGTTATTGGCAGTGGAACTCAAATTCTGCTGAGAATAGCAGAAGACACAGAACAGAAAGTAGTAAAAGATGGTAAAATAATGAAAAAATGTATGAAAATAGAATGAAAATTCTTTGAAACATACCACTATTTTAAAAAACTTTTCCCTCTTTGATGCAAATGACTGAAATCCATTCAACCCAGTCAGAACTGGCCTCAACCAAACTGGGGACGCTACTTTCAAGTGTGCAAAAGTTGCAGTTGCACCAACATGGGATCCAAGGCACAAAGTTAAAGAGCAGTGAGGAAGGAGCATCTTGATTGGACAGAAAGGGAAACTCATTCATTCCTTGCAGTAGAACTCCTGTTATGCCACTGCTACATGTTTTTATCTGACCAGATAAAAGCATATAATAATTTCTGAGATTTCTTGGGCTCTGGCCTCACTACCCCTTTCCTTTCATTTTCTAGCAAATCAATCCTAGCAACAGTGAATACAACCCATGATCCAAAAGCAAACCAAATCCAGTGAGACTAAGGCAGACTCATGTCCAACAAAATGAATAAAGTAGATTGTAACTTTTCCTCATTGTACCTTCTGACAAGTGCAGTAAAGGCTTTACAGCCAAGAACCTTACCTTCTGTTTTTATCTTTAGAGCAGTCCTAACCAAAGCAAACAAAGTAGCATTGAACATAACAGTTCCATCGCTGTTTAGTGGCATATTCATGGCTACTAACCTCTGTAAATGAAAAAAGGAAAACAAATTTACATGTGGCTTTGTTTGGCAAAAATCTCCTGTAATGTTCACTTCTGAAAAGCTGACTTATTCAAAGAATAATATCCACCGAGAGGCATAAAATTATATGTCTTCAAGAACAGCTGACTCTTCCATCCTAGCTGTGTGTAATAACCACCCAATATCGCTTCTTTCTGATATTAATCACCATTAATGACGGTGATTTCACATTGGTGGTAACTACTCGAATGAGTACACTGAAAGAAATGACACTAATTTTGCTGGTTTAAGTTAAGCCTGCAGAAAAACGTGAGAACTTGAGAGTGAAGGAGACGTCGTGAACAGACAGGATTACTGTGCATATATTGGACAGAATTGAATGAATGAATGAAGAAAACAGGGTAAAACCTACCTTGCAGGCCACTCGGTGAGGGCATAATTTGCCAAAACCAAGTGGTGGCTGAATGCGTCTCAGTAATGTAACCACATCAAGATGCTTTATCCGTCCCCTAGAACCAACACACATCAGTTACCAACCATACATACATTCCCAAAGAATATACTATGCTCTGCTTTTATTGTTTTTACCAGATAAATCTTATCAGAGAAATGATCTAACTTACTTTGCTTCAGGGTCATATTCTGACCATATCCTTTTGAACTCATCCAAATGATGGGGACCCAGAATAGACCAGTCACGTGTCAAATAATCAAAATTATCCATAATGACAGCCACAAATAAGTTTATAATCTAAAAAAGTAATTAAGAACAATCTGCCTTAATTATTTTGAAATTTTAAAAAAATATTCAATAAATAATATAATTTTATATGGTAGCAGATTAAGAATTCAAACAAATAAATTGATCTCATAAACAATGATTTTTGGCAAATATCATTAAATATCACAGGAAATACTTGCTAACCATTTAACTGACTAACTGGAACTCTGTCAAGTAATATGACACGACGAGAGTGTGATTCTATCTTAGAGTACTTGGTCTTTGACATAGGCTGTAACATGGTTTTGCTTCTCTTCCTTGATTTGCCAGATCCCACTACATCAAATTAAAGAATGGATCCAATACATGTATTTGACACAGCGTAGATCTTGGGAAACGGCTTTTGTATTAACAGGATTCAATGTCATGACAATAAGACTTTTGCATATGTTTTGTTAACAGAGAAGATGATACAGAACAGCAGAACGTGTATGTTTACATTAGTTCACAGAATTCTGTTCAACCACTCTCCTTTTGCAAGGAGAACTGTACTGTGAATAGAACAAATCAACCAGCTTAGGCCAGACACCTGCAATGAGGAAAAACATATTGTAGAGCAAATAATCCATTATGCCATGGATTAGGGAGAAAAGTTATTGTTCACATCTCATGTGCTAGTTTGAGCACACTTGTAGAGATCTGAATCAAAATTCTGCTAAGTTTAAATAATACAAATAGCATTACTAGTAAGTAAAAGGAATTGCAGCTTTATTATTAATGAATATTTAATTATACTATTGAGAAATGCATGAAATAATAGCTGATGAAAAGACTGTTAACTTAGCTTTCAAATGTGCAACCAACCACTCCTGCACACATGTAGTCAGAAGAACATCTTGCACATGGGAATTTAGAATCATAGAATCAGAATAGTTTGGGTTAGAAGGGACCTTTAAAAGTCGTCTAGTCCAACCCCTCTGCCATGGGCAGAGACATCTTCAACTAGATCAGGTTGCTCAAAGCCCCATCCAACCTGACCTTGAATGTTTCCAGGGATGGGGCATCCACCACCTCTCTGGGCAACCTGTGCCAGTGTTTCACCACTCTCAGCATAAAAATCAGTATAAGATACAGGATTTAGGACTGCATATGGAAAAATATAACCTTGAAAAAAATTTTAGATATGGGATTTTCAATCGTTCTCTGAAGCCACTAGTCTTTTAGTTCAGAAGAAAGTCAAAATGCCAAAGCTCATTTCTGTTAATAAGCACAAGCTAGACTCACCAAAAATGCACAAAGCATGTAAAAACTGATAAAATAAATGATGGCAAAATTGCTTCCACATGTGTATTCTTCCCCTGGATTATAATCGGATTCTGGATCACAGCGTTTTCCAGGCAAACATGCCAGCATGATTTCCTGCCAGGCCTCCCCAGTTGCACACCTTTATAAAGTCACAAAGATAAATTAAGCATTATTTGATCAAAATGGATTAAAGAGGTATTAATTTGTGAAGTTCTGACAAAATGCTTGGAGCTGTACAAGCACAAACATGAAGACAGGTCGTGAACTTTTCAGAGCTGGAACTAATTAAAAAAATACAGAGCATGTTTCAGAAATGACAAGCAGGATCTGACATTGCAGAAACGTTTTTTAAGGTAGACTAATGCACCATAAAGGCTTGCATGTAAAAAATTTGAACCCCAAACTGTGATTTACAAGTTAAACACTTATTGCAGTGGAGCTGCTGTGGATGAAAGCGGTGTTACGTACGAAAATCTGTCATAAAAGATGAAAGTATCTATTTGTGAAAGATGAATTGCCTTTTCCTCAGCATGGTTGAAGAAATGCTTGTCTCTAACTTCTGCTATTGCATTTTTTGCATAGTTGGGTAATGCCTGTGTACAGACCCATGATTTCAACTATTTAAAAGACGACTACATATTTATGACTTTTTGGCTGTGTTCATTACCTAGTTTGAAAGGCAAAAGTCTTTACATGCATAAAGTGACTTAGATCTCATTGGGTGATGCCTTGGTCTCAGATAAGGAATGACCTGCCAGTTTTGCCAGCCAGGTTAGTAACAATGCATAGGAGCCAAGTGGAGTTACAGAATCACAAGCAAGAGAGCTCTCAAGGTTGTCACGTTTAGAGGCATCCCTGTTCGATGGCATTCCCCCTCCTTGCTCCAGGACATTTTGAAGCACTCCTGGCCAATGTTTACCCTCTTCTTAAGCTCTCTAGTGATGGAGATTCTATAATCTCCCTACATCAAGATTTAGCTACCTTTGCCATCAGAAAGTTTTACCTACTGCTTATCTGGTATTTCCCTTCTGCAAGTTACACCCTCTATTTCTTGTCATCTCTTCAGCAAGTGTAAAGAAGACCTTATTTCTTCATTTTTGCAACAACCTTTCATTTTTTCAAACTGCCATGCTAGCTGTGCTTCTAAAGAATACACTAAGGGCACAGTCTTTCTCACCTTTCCCAACACCTACACAGTGATATCAGGGCTGACTATGTTTGGGCTCTACCTGAAGACAATTACTCCATAAATGAGATGTTTCACAAGAGCTGTAATGAGTTTAGGTCTGTATCACTTGATTAGAACCCTGCTCTGCCAATGGACACTCAGCATACAGCCATAGGGAGTATGCGCTTGTTATGCTAAATTGCTTCTCACTTGCAAACACCTTTTGAACAAATCTATGGTACAAGAGCTACAGACATTTTTCATAGATCAATGAAATGGGATGCATTAAGTAAGAGTTAAGGTTTACTCACCTGAAAAGAAGAAGCACAGCTTGGGGGAAAGTCTGAAAATTGTTGTTTCTGTTTATTTGATTGTTATCCCTCATGGCCACTTTTCCAAATACCTACAATAAAACAGGATTTTGACTTTCATCCTGGTGACCTGTACTGTCAGAAGCTGTAGTAGGTCTTACAGTCTAAACTTGCTTCAGTATGTATGAAAAACACTTTCACAAATACACTTTCTTTACTCTCTTTAGTTTTTCCTGATAATGATGTAAATGCAGTAAATTTATCACATATACAAGGTAATTCTTAATCACTTAATTTAGCATTAATAAACCATTATAATACTAATACATATTCCTGTATTTCAGATGAGAAAATATTATTTGTTTTAAACTAGCACCTAGAGTCCTTTATTGATGTTAAAGCCCTACTGTGCTAAATATTGGACATACTTGTAGTAAGAAATAATTACTGTCCTGAAAACCTCGAATCTAAACAGAGAAAGAGAGATGCAAAGACAGAAACCAAAGCACAAAGAGTCTGAGCATCCTGTCTCAGCCAGAGATGGAAATGAGTTCTGTTCCTCAAAATTAAATTGCAATTCCTTGGCCACAAGACCATTCTTTTTCCCCAATATAATACATTTATATCCTCTTACAATACAGTGAAGGCTGTTACTCAATTTAGAGAGATTAACACCATTGTGCTCTGTATACATGCTGCTGGACTGTAAGGACATTAAGTTGCTTTTGGATAAACGATGAAGAGAAAGAATCCAGAAGCAAAACCACTCTCCATAGCATATTTCTTCTATTGATCCCATTTAATTAGGATGTCCCTTTGTGTCGATTTGAAGAACGTTACAACTTTGAAAACAAAAGTAAACATCTGTAAAGTTTTACAGAATGCAGAGCTATCCTAAGGCCTTATGACAGGAAAAGAAAAAAAAAAAAAAAAAAAAAAAAAAAAAGAACTGCAGCCCAAATTCAGGATACCTAACAGGAACTTCTGCCAAAGTATTGATGGTCACCCAGCCCTGCTCCTCAGGCACCTCCTTAGGCAAGCACTAGATCTCATGTGTGGCACAGAGACTACCATGCAACTCAAACTGTGCTCCCGATCACAGCTCCATGCTCAGTGCCTTTACCTGCTGCTTTCCTGCAGCCTGTGCAGTTCCCTCCCAAACGGCTATCCCATCCCCACACTAGAAATGACCCAGTAGTGTGAATTTTAGGAACAGTTTCCTGACAGGTTTCTCCTATCTAGCTATCTCCAGTTACTAAGACTGGAGAATCTGCTCTGCCCTTGGAGCACTGCTGCTGGTGTAAGGAATGGCACCTTCATCCCAACAGCACATTTTTACATTTTAAGTTATCAAAATCCTTTCTGTGCTTGTACATCTTGTACATATATCCTACTCTTGATTAACCACAGGCTCAGCTGTGCCTAGATCTTTAGCTAGATGCTTTTTCTAGTTCTATTCTTTTCATATGGGAAAGACTTAAAAAAAAAAAAAAGCCGGCATTTTAATGCCCGATTCCCAAAACAAGTCTATAGTAAAAAAAAAAAAGCCATGAGTTCTTTCATACACTCATGCATAGGAGTAAACATCACAGTATATGGAAAAGGAGTGGCTCCTTTCAGCAAACCAAAATACTATAAGCTCACAACAAGCTCTTCTCTTGCATCTTTTTGGATTTTCTGACTACCAAAATCATAGCCAAAAAAAGATTTTTACATTACTCCGAAAGCTCTGCCTTATATACAGCACCACCATCAAAGGAGTGTTTCAGTAAGCACCTTAGTAAACATGTCTCTGAGTAGCCAACACTGTACTTTTGTTTAATGCTAAAAAAATTCTACAATTACCTGCATTCCAATGACAGCATAGATGAAGAACAGCATGGCTATCAGAAGGGCGACGTAAGGCAGAGCCTAAAAAAGGGACAGGTGCACTGTCTTTTAATAACTTCACACCATAATTTCAATTTCCACTTACAAAAATAATTTCTCTGTACAACACAGGCTTTTCCAAGGTTTTTTCTTCCTATGCAAGTGCTTAAAATGTTATTACCTGTCACTCTTAATATTCTGCCGCATACAATGAATACAAGCTTCATTATATTTTAAATTATTTCTGCCTGCAATCCAGGGGGAAGAATCATCTTTAGCAGTTTTTAATTTTATTTTCATTACTGATTCTGACAACCCAAAGATACTTCCTTCTATACAGTTATAGAGTTCCATTAACTTCACATTCATCAGAGTTTTCAGGAGCAAGGATTCAAATATCTATTTGTTACACTTATGAAATCAGTTTTATATAAAAAAATAGATTACATTCCTCTTTTGTCATCTAATAAAATGTGTGGAAGTATGAAACCTGTGTGTGTCAAACCTATCCTATCCCTTTAAGATATACCAAATATTTTTTTATGAAGTACCATAGAAATCTCATGGTAACAGCTAACATTAAATGACAAAGAACGACACTTGGACTCACTGAAGTAACTGGTGAAATTTAAATTGGCATCAGTATGCAAATATATTTAAACATGTAATTATTGATAGCATGAATTTCAAAAGAAGTGTTTTTTACACTCTACAGGGTATGGCTTCATAAAATTTGGTGTATAAATGGCTGTAATTATGAAGCAAATTTAAATAAATTTTGCTAACCTGAAATGACTTAATAAATGTCCACAGTAAAGTTCTGATTCCTTCTCCTCTGCTAAGCAGCTTCACCAACCTCATCACCCGGAAGAGACGGAAAAAAGTGATGGAGATTCTAGCGCTGTCTTCAGAATTCTGAAGAGCATCATGGAGAAGTCAAACCAAATACAAACTCAAACATGCAACACTTCCAGAAAAACAACATCAAATGCAAAGGTGGAAGAGGTAAGATTTGAAAATGTATCTTGAGGGCCTTTTCACCTTGATAAGCATGATATGAAAGGAAAAATTACATGCTAAAAACACAGGACCTGTAGAAATGCTTCACACATCACATGCATTTCCATGTTTTCTGGTTTGTTAACAAGGATCATATTGGGTTTGTTTGTAGTAGACTTCAATAGTACATTGACAATGAAGGCAAAACACTGCATAACACCTTTGTAGTAAGACAGTTATGAAAAATACAGAAAAAATCGGTGGAAAATAGACATGGTAAAAAGAATAAACTCAAGTAGAGGTAAAACCACTGGGGTCAATTTACTAATCTTACCCCAGACTCATCAGTTGTGACTGTTTCAGTTGGCTTTGGCTTTAAGAAATTAAGAACATTAATTATTAAAATCAAATAAAAGATTAAAAAAATCAGCTTAACCATAAACAGAAGGAAGGACATTTTTCATTTCTAAACATAAATGAACATCTTTCAACTCAATATACTTCCTGAACAAAAGATTAATATCCTTATCAAAACCTTCCCTTTAGCATTTCATGTTGGCTGACTCATACTAAAACATTGTTGGCTGACTCATACTAAAATCTGCTATTATAAAACATGTTTAAAAGACTCAATGGAAAGTAAATACAAAATAAAATATCTGCTCCTATGTAAGCCAAACAAAATTAGCCATCGACTTCCACAGGTTGTATGAAATTGTAGCAGTAAGCCTAAGTAAAACTGAAGAACAAAGCTTTGGGGTCAAACTAGCCTTTCAAGGTCCCTTTTCTGCTGTGTTCTTTTTGAAGATTAATTACTCCATCACTGGAATCTAACCATATTCAAGTAATTGTGTTTTGTGTCACATCAGGAGGTCTCTTAAAGCAAAGTAATTCACTTGAGTTAACTCACTCAGTGATGAACACTGGGGTTTGCAGTGCTTAACAAGGACAGATTTTCACTCTGCCAAAGTGATAGACAAACATTTTTAGCACAACGACACGAAGGCTAACCCTCCCATAGAGGTGCAAATGAGAAGGCAATACTTGTACCCTCTCACCATCTACAAAGTACTCATATACCTGAGCTGATGTAACAGAATCAGGCATGGACAAAGGGCTTCAGGATTTGATCGACCCTTTTGGAACAGACCTGTACAACCCTCAGGAGCTACAGGGAGGAGAGAGGCACACACCAACTTCTTGTTCACAGAGCCAAACTCTATGTCCTGTGAAGAAGAAACTCACTTCTCTCTTTATAATGTTTCTGTCTGTCTTTGGAGAAACTGTCTTGATATCCTAAATGGTCAGACACTTAGCAAAGCAGCTAGCAAAGCTTAAAGGACCAACTGTCTATACTTGCCTGTGCACTGACAGATTCACAACAGCTTCTTCCAAAACTGAATGGAAGCATCTTTAAAAACTTCATAGCACTAGAACAAACGGGATTCTGGATGTTGGATCTAAGTGATGGATCTTACTCTCTTGCCTAAAATATCCTCCTTTTAAAGGGGCACCTTTCAACAATTACTGTCACATAGAGCGGCAATAACCATGATGCCTCCTCAGTGCTGCTTCCCACATATTGTGGATGCATCAGACACACTCTCAATGCCATGCTTCACTGAGTAAAATCTCAAGCATTGCTGTTACCTAAGACAAAACTTGGGGAGAAGGAAGGGGAAAGAGAGGAGCTGATTCTGCTGAAAATACTGGCAGTATATTATACAAACATACTAAGGTAAAAAAAAACAAGAATAGGTAGTACTTTGTTAAAGTTAGATCATTAGCAGTATTTCTCAAAATACTAATTGTTTTGTCCATTCCTTTTTTGCAAAACATATATAATATAAAGGTATCACAAGGGGAAAATGAGGTAAAAATAACTGTCTGTTCAACTACGTGCAATCTACGTATGTATACATTACTGCCCTGCCAGGATATCAGTATTTTCTGAAACAAAGAGTTTTAAAACTGTTTAAGGGATTATTACTAAATTGATGCATTAATATTAACCAAAACCCAGATCTCCTCATTAGACTTCAGTAAGCAGAGTATTTGTAAAATCAGCTGTAACATCTAAGCTTTGTAAGCACTTATATAAAATACACAAAAAAATATGCTGCCAATGAAACAGTTGCTGCATTAGAAATTCCCTGCATATTTCATCAATTTGAAATAAAACCATCAAAATATAGATTAAGGAGAAATTCATAATCACAGACATCATAAATGCCAAAATAGCACAAAACATGGAAACAATCTTGCAAAGCTTTCTACCTACATCAATCGCAAACCTGTACTAGTGTATACAGACCCACATTGCTATTGACTTTTTTACAGAAAAAAATTCCTTTTTATCTGAAACTTTTAAAGAAATTGCAGATGAAGCCTGAAGTTTTGTATTAATCTCTGGTGACTGACTCATGCTGAGCTTGATGCCGTCTTAATCAGTGAGTGAACTACTTAAATAGCATTCAATATTTTGTATCATCAAAAATTAAATGAAGTATTTGACAGATACAGAGGAGATTAAATTACAGTATCATCACAAACTGACACTAAAAAAAAAAGAAGTAAAATGCTGGGGTTTGCATTTGGGAGTTTTTCCCACTAGCTTTTATAGGAGAAGGATTGGGCCCCAAATAAGCTAGGAACAGTATTAGGATAGCAGTATGTAATGGGATAGATAAGAACAGAACAAGGATACTTGGGTCCTACAGATTTTTATTTTTTCTTTTGGAAAGCAATTAAATAACAAGGAGTATGCATTATGATTTGGTTATGAAAAAACCCTCACAAAAGGAAAAGTCAGTAAAAAGAACTTTTTCTACATATAACTATATTTATAATTACTTAATTCTCACTTTTGAAAATGCAGCCAGAGATCAGATCTATGCGAACAGTTCTACTGCAGGTGCTCAGGAATGATGAGTGCAAAATCCCTCAACTTTTTTTCTGAAGGGCACTGAATGTATTTGTGTATGCACATTTGTGTATGCACAGGACAGTGTAACACACACTCCTCTTATAAATCACTCTTTCTCAGCTTCTTTGTACTAAGCAGTCCCTAATTGCCTGTTTGTGATGGCTGATCTGCTGCTGTTGGGAAGTGTTAGGATGTCACATGCAAGAGATTATAAATTATGGACACTGGAAAAAGCAAGCCAGGAATGAAAAAGGAAAACACCCTGTTCACAGAAAGTAAATAGTACAAATTTACCAGGGTGGAGATTGATGCTAGAAACAAACAATGAAAACGAACTCCTGATACCAAAGGATTTTTTTTTTCTACTGGAGCTGAAAATACTCAACTTCTGCCCATCATCGGCCAAGTGTTTTGGGTACTGACATTTTAAAGTGAGCGTATCTAACTTTTTACCCTCTCTGGCATTTCCCTCTGATAATACAGCAGCCTGGTTTATATTATGAATAATAATTATCATGAAGCTAATATAGTGATATACCACAAAGAAAACATTATTCATACTTATTTATAAAGGAAACGCTCATCTAAGAGAGAAAGTTAGTTAACGTGTATGTGTGTCCATCCAGCATGAAGTAATACTAAGATCTGGGAAACTAAGATTAAGCTAACACAATCTTCAGTAACAATAAAAGACAGACTGGCTGACAATAACGGAGAACATCTGCTTCCTACAGATAAGGAAAAAACATATACTACCCAAACACATAATCTTATTTGCAACTTCAGTAATATTACTTGACATGTACACATGGAAGTAGGTGGCACATTATGTATATGTAG